TGACCCGGCGCCCGTGGCGGGCCTCCAGGATGCCCTGACGGGCGACGACGACTACGATGACGACGGCGACGACGACGGTGCCAGGGCCGGTGGCGGCGGGGCGGCGACGGCGCGCACCGTCTTTATCTCGCACCGCTACATTGGCCGGCTGTGCCTCGACGCGCTGAGCCTGCCGCTGGTGGCGAGCGCCATGGGCAAGCTGCTGGCACTGCTGGCCCGGCACAACGGCTGGCTGGCGAGGATCCTCGGCATGGAGGCCTTCCTCGGTCGCAGGGCCGGCAAGCGGGGCGGCTCGGTCCTCTCGAGCTTCTACACCACCACCACCACCGGCGGCAGCGCGACCGCTTCGTCGCGCGACTCGGCCAAGGCAGCGCAGCCGTCGCCGATTGGCGGCCTGTTTCGCGGTCGGCTGCCTAGCCGCGACGAAAGCTACGGCGACGGCGACGAGGATGCGGCGGCGGCGCTGCGGCGGCGGCTGGGCATCGCGCCGACGGTGAGCTACGACGATCTGGACCCGGTCTGGTTCCGCAACGCCGTGGGGGCGGGTCTGTTCATCGTCGTCAAGGATGCGGCCAGCCTGCTGCACAAGTACCTCAAGCTGCGGCAGAGGGGCAGGACGACAGTGGCCGACCTGCCCTTTGGACCTGGCCTGGTCGAGGGGCTGGATCTGAGGGAAGGAGCGTGAGGCAGAGGGCGCGAGCACGTCTCTGCGAGCGCCGCAGAGGCGAGGCCGGCACGCTCTCGGGCTATTCGGAGTTTTGCTGCGGATCAGGCCATGCGGGGGCGGGTGTTGATTGCGGGTTTCGTGGAGCAACTGCGGTCTGTTCGACGCCAACCTCTTCGTCTGTTCGCTCTCTCTGCCCTGTCCACCGACTCTCCCCAACGCATCGACAGCGACGAGAGCAGCGACGCCATCACTTTTTGCCCTTCTTCTTCTTCTTTTTACTCGCCGACGACGTCCCACCCGCGCCTGTGCCTGCGGATGCTGTTGCGCCGGCTGCTGTTGCCGCGGGCGCAGTCGTCGAGGTAGCCTGTGATGCCGCGCCCGAGGCGGCGGCCGCATCGTGCTGTGTTGTCGTCGCGGCCCCGACGGCGGGCGTTGGGGGATTGAGGAGGGACGCGGGTTTTTCGTGGCCGGCCATGGCGGCCATCATTGCGCGGTTGAAGACTTCAAAGCGGCCCAGGATGACCGAGGAGCGCGTGCGGAACTTGAGCGTCTGTCGTTGTCGTCGTGCGTGGGCGGACGTGGGCAAAGGTGGGGCAGGAAGTTTTAGTTTATGAAACGACGGCGCGAGTGGCAGGGTGTAGGCAGGGGAGGGGAGGGCGCGGCGTGGACGTACGGTCTGGTCGTCGGTCACTTTTAACACGAGCTGGTGCGTCGATGGTCTGGCTTTGATCAGGTATCGAGTCTGTGGTCGAGCAAGGTAGGAGGGAGGGGAGACGAGGAGGATGAATCGATCAGCAACGGCTACACGCTCCAGCGGTGGCGGTAGCGGGCAGGACGACAGCCACGGCGACGAACGGAAACCCACCCGTTCTGGACTCTTCTGGTAGAGGTGTATGCATCGCTGTTGGAAGTCGTTCCAGTCTGAGACGTAGACCATGCTGACGTGGTGTCGAGGCGAGGTGCCGGGGGTCGGATGAGAGTGCCTAGTGGGTCGGTGGGAGGGAGACGCGGCGTGGTGGAAGTGGTGTCTGGGTGTGGCTTCTGGTCCTTGGAGCGCGATGGTGGGCCTTGGTGACGAGCGATTGGGTGCGAGCCAAGGGCGGGTGGGAAAGGCAGGAGGGTCAGATGGTGGAGCCAGAAGGAGGGCCTCAAGCCAAGGGCCAGGACAGACGAGAGGCTTGGCTGGCTGGCCTGGCTGGCCACACGAGGTTGGCACAGCGCTGCTTCGGTTCCGAGGTTCTAGAGAGCGGCGCTTGGCCCGGGCTGTGGGCTCGTCTGGGCTGCCTGCCCGCTCCTCTCGGCTCTTTCACGCCTGGCAGGCAGGCCGGCCGCAAAGTGGAGTCAGCCCCAGCAGCCCTGTGGCCTCCGCACCTGCCCGCCGCCGCTTCTTCTCGAGCCACGCCCGACATCCCCGCCGCCATCCCTTAACCTTGGTTGCCCGCTCCCCTGCTTGCCTCCCTGCCTGCTCGCTCACTCGGCTTGGCGCCTTCTCTCTCGACCACCATCGCATCGTCTCGCCTCTGCACCTTCACTACTTCACCAGCAGCAGCACCGCCCAGCCATGTCGGCTCCCTCGCCCCTCCCCGCCGTGACGGCCTCGCAAGGCGCCCCGCAAAAGGCCCCCTCGCAGACGCCAGCCCAGATCGCCCAGCGAAAGGACAAGCCCCTCTACTCGCTCATCGCAGGCACCACCGCCGGCGCCGTCGAAGGTTTCGCCACCTACCCCATCGAGTACACAAAGACCGTCAGCCAGTTTGCCGCAAAGGCCGGTGAAAAGGTGAGCGCCCTTCCCGCTGGCCAGCCGCATGCCATCCTCACCTTCAGCCGGCGTACCCGCGCACCGCACCGCACCCGCGCCACAGCAGAGCTGACGTTGTCTCTGATCCCGTCACCGCGCCCCCGCAGGCCCCCGGACCGATTGCCATTGTACGCAGCACGCTGGCAAAGGACGGCTTCATCGGCCTCTACTCTGGCTGCGGCGCCCTCGTCGCCGGCAACGCCCTCAAGGCCGGCGTCCGCTTCCTCAGCTACGACCACTTCAAGTCGCTCCTCAAGGACCAGGACGGAAAGCTCTCGGGTCCGCGCTCCCTCCTCGCCGGCCTCGGCGCCGGCATGATGGAGGCCATCTTTGCCGTCACCCCCTCCGAGACCATCAAGACCAAGCTCATCGACGACGCCAAGCGCGCCGCACCCAGATACCCCCCCGGCCTCTTTCCCGGCACCGCCGCCATCGTCCGCGAGGAAGGGTTGCGCGGCATCTACCGCGGCCTCGGCCCCGTCATGATGCGCCAGGGCGCCAACTCGGCCGTCCGCTTCGGCACCTACTCGACCCTCAAGAACTTTGTCGCCGGCAGCGCGCGGCCCGGTCAGAGCCTGCCCGGCGGCATCACTTTCGGCATCGGCGCAGTGGCGGGCGTCGTGACCGTCTGTGAGTCGAGTCGGCTGCGGCCTACCCTCGGCGCTGGTCCTCGACCTCTGTCGTCCCGTCGTCCCGTCGTCCCGTCGTCCCGTCGTCGCTCAACCTGCTGACCTTGCCCTGCACCCTCTGGGTCTCTGTCTCTCCCCCCCTCTCACTCTCCCTCGCAACGCATCCAGACTCAACGATGCCCTTCGAGTAAGTCCCCCCGTCCCCCTTTTCCTCGCACCACTGCCGTCCCTCTTCATCGTGGCTCACCACCGTCTCACGCCTCGCCTCGCCTCGCCTCGCCCCGCCACACAGCGTCATCAAGACGCGGATGCAGTCGCTCGAGGCGCGGACGCGGTACCGGGGCACGCTGCACTGCGTCACGTCGACGCTCAGAGAAGAGGGCGTGCTGGCCTTTTGGCGCGGCGCCACCCCGCGCCTCGCACGGCTGGTCCTCAGCGGCGGAATCGTCTTTACCGTCGTACGTGCACGTTCCTCTCCCGGTCGCGCCACGCCACGACATGCCAGGTTTTCCATTCCATCACGCTGACCTCCCCTCGCTTTCTTCTTTGTGCCACCCACACCCCTTTGATCCCACCGCACACGCTCAAGTACGAACAAATCATGAGCCTACTCGATGCTCGGACCATGTAGACCGACCCCCTGTTCGCCGTCGTTCCCTCATCCTCGTTCGCCTGCCTGCTCCCCCTGCCTGGCCATCGCGACAATGCCCACGACCCCATAGACACACCGAGACTGAGTCGATTCGAGCCGGGCCCGGCTGCGCGCTACCTGGCCCGTCCGACCCACGACTTTGACCCGCCCCGCACAAACATCGACAACGACGCGACGAGAGCAGCCAGCTGGCTGGGGGGCCCTTGCTTTCGACGAGACGAGGCGAGGCGAAACGAGGCGAGAGAGAAAAAGGATGGGAATCGACCGATCGATCAGCAGTACATCATACAGGTAGAGGTGGGGCCAGGGTGGTGGAGAAACGAGGGAGTAGCCGGACAATCGGCGGACGAGCGCAGAGGCTCGTGGGCGCGCGCGAGAGAGAGAATGAAGGAGAAAGAGGGAAGGGGGGGAGAGGGAGCGGGGAGGAGCAATAGAGGGAAGGAGACCGAGACGAGGCGAGGGCGGCAGAGGCACGAGGTAGGTGAGGCGGTGCGGACATAGTACAAGGTATTTGGCGGAGACGGATCATCGACGCGTGTGCGCGGCGCACACGCGAGGCAGCCAGCAAGTCTGGGAGAGGGTCGGGGAGTCCCCCCCTTCCCCGGCCGAGAGCTCGTCGGGCCGGTCTAGCGACAGGATCGCGACGGAGGCTCCCTCCGTCTTGCCGGAATCAACGAAGGGCGACGCTCACGCGCGTCGCGCGCCGTGCGCCGCGACGCTGGATGGACAAGGGTGGGTGACGGCGAAGACCGGGGAATTGCTGCGCGGCGCGCTTGCGAAGGCGAGGGCGAGCGCGGGGGACTAGAGGCGGCGGGACGAGCATCGACGCCGGATAGGCCTCGATGCGTACGTGACCGGATGCCGTGGCGACGTGCATCGACGGGCGACATCGACGTCTTTCCCTCTCGTTTTTTGCATTCTTGGGCGTCCGGCCTTTACTGGCGCGCGTTGTAAGCCGCCTTTTCGGCGTCGGCCCGCAGCTTGTCGCGGTTGGCCATGTCGAGGTAGGGCTGCTTCTCGCTGTCGCTCATCTCCTTCCACTTGGCGCCGAGGAGGCGTCCGACGTCGCCGAAGCCGGCGTCGGGGTTCTCGGTCTTGACCTTCTCGCGGTGGTCCTGCGAGAAAAACATGTAGGCCGACAGCGGGCGCTTGGGGGCGGCGGGGTCCTTCTTGGCCTTGGTGGTCCTCTTGCCAGTCTGCGTGCTGGACTTGGTCTTGGTCTCCTTGGCCATGGTGACGGGTTGCGGGGGTTGGCGGATGGCTGAGGCTGTTTGGCGGTACGCGAGGAGGGGGGAGGGGGAGGCAAGGGTGGATTGACGCGTGGCGGGATGCGATGATGGTGGTGGCGAGGTGAATGATGGATGGTGTTGGTGGCGACGACGGAGCGGAGCGGAATCGCGAGCGGGCGCGATTGGTGGTGGTGTGGAGGACGACGCGGCATGGCGGTCAGCCAAGAATGTTCAAAAGAAAAGCGGAAGACGCGTCGCGCGCGACCCTGGCGGCCGGGTCCAACCCTGGCTGGCCCCGCCCGCGGATCGCGCCTCTGGTGGTTTCCCTGCCGCCGGGCGCTCGACGACGACGACGACGCCAGCCGCAGGATCGCGACCAACATGGCGATGGAGCACCCCGATGATCCCGGCGCATCCATCCCGCCGTCGATGCGCGGAGGTCATTGGCAGAGCCCAGAGGCGTGGAGCGAAACGGCACGCGCTACTCACGTTGGTTCAGGCTGCGTTGGCTGGGTGGATGGATGGATGCGATGAAGCGGTGTCGCTGATGGCTACGACGGGCGGTGGTGGTGGTGAAGGGGATGGGAGGTGGCGGTGGTGGCGGTGGTTAGCGATGCTGCTGGTGGCGCGAGGTGTGACAGGCTGGGCCAGCCAGCTTGGACGCGTATACGGGCCGGGCTCACCTTGCTTTTTGGCTGGGGGGGCGAGATTTGGCTGGGCGAGCGTTGGCGGGCGGTGGTGGGTAGGGGAAAGGCTGGGCGAAGTGGTAGGCGGGCCTTTTTGGGGGAGAGGCGGGGGGGTCGCTCGCTCGCCCAGCCA